CACGACATCCGCAGAGGAGCTGGCCAGAGACATCTGGCAAGAGATGGTGAGCCCGATGTTCAGGAAGTTATTTCCTTATTTATACTGGCGCCACAGTCTATGCATTGTAGCCATAGTTACCAAGATCGTCTTCCCTGACCAAGCAATCGTAGAGGTCGGCTGCCAAATGCTTGTTTATGCAAATTAATCATGCATGAAATAGGTCAATTTACAAATGTTTTGACCTTATTTTCGCAACTTAATCGAATTGTCAGAGCCAACTGTCTTGGCAAATTCACCCACCTTCTAGCCTCGTATCGCTCCGTTCCTCATCAAAACTTCGCCCTTTTTAGCGGATTTAGTGAGGCCGCTTCACACTCGCCCCAGTCCCTCCCCAATGTGCTGTAATAGTTAAAACAATTAGGATATTTCAGTCCGTAATCTTTTTCATTCAATCATATCAGAGTTTCTATTTTTCCCTGTTCGATCTGTTTTCTGTTTACCGAGTTCAGAGAGAGATGGCACATCTATTCGGCATACAGTTGTCTCGTCATGTAGACTTTGAGGAGTTGTAGTTTGGTGCCAAAATAATGACAGGACTCACTATGCCGGCAAAACTTCTGGGAATCTAGTAAATTCCGCGGTCCGATGATGGAAATAATCATGGTTTCTATGGCAGAAGGCTCCGGACAAGATGCACTCATTTAGGTTGCTCTGGCAACCCGACCAAATCAAGATAATTCTTTGCAACGAAAGGAGAACGACACAGTAGTAGAGGGTCCACCATCTTGATGTTTACACCTTCGATAGTTTAGATTAGTCCAGTTAATTAATTCAGTCTATTCCTAATTAGTTACTAGTAGTTTTTTTAAATTAACTATTGTTATTTTTAATTTTTACTCTAATACCAGTCTATATGAGGAGCTTTTAATAATATTTAAGTACTATAATCTAACCAAATTTTTTGAAATTTAAGAAAAGCGGGTTGTATGAAGGCAAACATTTCAATTCAAGTAAAACTGATATAGAATAGCTATTAATACTAAAGGTTCTAGATGAGCCTTTGGTTTCGGAGATCATAATAATTGTATATTACAAGAAATCGACTAGCTCTTTAAACGATAGATGATTGGCACTTTGGAGCCCAAATATGTGAAAAACCTCAAGGGCTAGGAGCTAAATTCAATGAGTACAGGTAACCCTTGAGTATATACCGAATCGAAAAAGATTCTGGAAAATATAAAATCTATTGCTTGTCTTATCTCAGTATATTATTCTTGCTTATTCCTCCTTTTCTAATTTCTGTTTCATCTTTCATGCACTGCAACTTTTTCTTTATTGATCGTCTGTCTAATCTCCACTCCGAGTTAATTTGCTAACATGCTTACTACTTTTCTTTTAAATGAGTAGCATTTATCGAAAATTTAAAATAAATGTCGCCTAAATTCTGAAAGGCTTGGCAATCGAGGTTGCCATATGCTGCATTATATACTGAATACACGTTGAGACAAAAGGATATTAGGAGGTGTATTGCCCTAATTGTACAAACAATATACCTCTTATATCGTTAAAAACATTGTACACATTTAAATAAGTCTATACTAAGGCATCATTACTTATCGCCGATTTCGCGTATTTTGTTTTTCCAGCCCTATCTTGAGGAGGAGGAGGAAATGTGTCCACGAGAGGCAAATTATCCACATTGCTTTGAGCACAATGAAGATGCGCTGACCAAACGGCGTGTCACCTTCGCGCCCTGTTCAAGCCACACTCATTCATGCCCAGATTCAGGCTACCCGTCAAGCCAGCCCCCTATTAGTTCGTCTGTAGATGGGACGGTGCCTTCAGGGACCCAGAAGACTGGTAGGCGTCTCAGACGCTCCAATTCGACGCCGTCAGCGGGACCAGATTACCTTTTGCCGCTGATGTTCTTTCTTGTCTGCCCAGCAGTCATTATTCTATTCTCGTTTTTACTGATTCCCTCCACATGGAGCAAGCTATGAAGGCGTACAGATTTTGATCCTTGAAAGAGTCCCGTTTGATACATATCTCCCGCCAGACCATTCCGTCCAGCAATAAGAGGGACAGTGCGAGAACCGACCTTCTTTCCCTCGAGGATATCTTAGCTTAACACTTTTACAAACGGCCACACAATGCACAAAGAGCCAGGAAGTGAGGCCCAGCCATGTCCTACATGAAGAATGGTGGCCTGATTGGTTTTACGGACAGTTTATTTGATTCTATCTATCTTTTCTTCTGATTTTTACCGC